CTGGTCGTAACCCGAAAAGTTCGTTAACAGAGGCGTTCGTAACCCGAGGTTCCACTGTACTGTATCTGGGCTGCAAAAATCTGGACCACTAGGTAGCAGCAGAAACAGAGGTATCTACATTTTTGTTGCCCAGATATGGTAGCTCTATTATTCTACTCTGTATTTAAGGTTCATGTTGAAAGACTATACAGGTAGTCCTTGCTTACCAACTGCCTTGTTTAATGACCGTTCAAAGTTATGATGGTGTTAAAAAAAATAGCTTTGCAACCAATCCTCGCATTTATGATTGTTGTATCCCATAGTCAAGTGATCTCCATTTGTGTGCTTCACAACTGGCTTGTGACAAGTGGAGATAATAGAGAAGGTGGAAGTAAAATACTAAGACACGGTCACATGATGTTTTGCTTAACGACCATGGTGATTTGCTTAACATCCAAAGAGGAAGTAAGGTCATAAGCCGATCATGGTCACATGTTTCGCTTTTGTGACCGCGATGCTTAGCAACCAAGTTGCTGGTCCTGATTGTGGTCGCTAAGCAAGGACTGCCTGTATAGCCCTACATTTTATTCATTTGCCTGAACCTAAAGTTCAGTTTATGAAAAATTTCTGTTACATGTGATTAAGCCAAAATCTGTTTTGTTTTTGACTCTCTGTTAAGAACTTTTTCTAATGTGTGAAAAAGTGTGAAACTGTCTATGACTCATTAAAGCAGCCCTGTCTCATCCTTGGACTACTGTAATGTGTTGTACGCTCAAGATCATCTGCAGCTGGTACAGAATGCAGTGGCTCATCTGTTAATCAGCACTTTATACCAAGAGCACATTATACCTGTGCTTCAGGCCCTGCACTGGCTCCCAATAGGCTTCTGGGTGCAATTCAAGGTCCTAGTTATTACCTACAAAGCCCTATGTGGCTCAGCATCTGGATACCTGCCAGACCACCTTCTCCTGTTACAGTTCACCAGGCCAACACAGTCTTTCCAGGAGAAACTTTTGGTTGTACTCTGCTCCCATGAAGTGAGGGGGGCTGAGGCACAGAGGCACTGCTTTTCAATAGCCACACCTACCCTTTGGAATAACTTTCCCATTGAAATTAGGTTTGGCGCCACCTTGATTTCATTTAGGAAGATGCTTACAATTGTAGAGCATTTTTTAGACTGACTGGTACCACCTCGCCTGAATGAATAAATGCATGCATGTGTTTCTTATCTTTATTTCATTTTCAATTTTGTCTGGATGTTTTATGTATGTTTTTATCAACGTTAACTATGGATGTTTTAATATTAGGCCTCATGGATGGTTTATCTGTACAGCACTGCTGGAAGCATTACAGGATTTGGCCAGTATATTAGTTGAATAAATGAACAAACAAATAAACAAATAAAATTTTACTATGACCAAATAAATCCTGAAGAAAGAAGCACTTTTTCTGGATATTTGAACAGGGCTTTAATGACCATTTAGACAGAAGCCAACACAAAGGAAAATATATATTCAAAGCAATTTGGAAATTGCATTGCTTAAAGCACACTGATTTATTAATACTTGGAAGACAAGCAAACCTTTTTTTAAACATTTCTACATGTTATTTGGCTAAATATCAAAGTTATTTGAGAACAGATAGGATTCCAACTTCTACTCCAGGTTGGTTAATATATTAACAAATGTACAGAACTTCAACACCATGCCCCAATTCAATTAAAACTCTCCAATTGGTTGCTTTATAGCTACTACCAAATGTATCCCCTCTCTCTCCTATGTTATTCCTTCTCATTATAGAATTGTTAGCTCAGAATATCAGAAAGAAAAAAATTCAGTCTTAAATTGAAAACAGAGTATTGTGTAATAAATCTGTCAGCAGATGACATGCTTTGTTTACTTCAAAATCCTAATAGAAATAAAACTTAATTGCAAATGGAATTAAACACATTTTATGCAGTATCAAATTTAAAACTTAATTTTAATAAAGCCTCTCCAATGTTAATCAGAGAGACAGTTTGGTGTAGTGGTTAAGGCATCAGACTAGAAACCTCAGGACTGTGAATTCTAGTCCTGCCTTGGGCACAAAGCCAGCTGGGAGACTTTGGGCCAGTCACTCTCTCTCAGCCCTAGGAAGAAGGCAATGGCAAACCACTTCCAAGGAACCTTGCCAAGAAAACTGCAGGGACCAGTCCAGGCAGTTGCCAGGAATCAACATGGACTCAAAGGGCCAAAAAAAAAAAAAAAAGAAAGTTAATCAACCCTGATAAAGAAACATCTTCAAGAAGCTATAGTACTGGACTTCAAGTCAGCCCTGATAAATTTAGTTATGTAGGAGTGATGTGGGAGTATGCATATATGTATTACAAATGATTGGCATCAATTAGAGCATAATAATTATGATTGCATTTACAAAAGATTAAAACAGAACTTAAATAATGGCATCAGCATTTCATTTTTGTAGCTTAACTGTTTCAAGATAACTATTCTTCCTAAAATTCGACTATTACTTCACATACTCCAAGTTCCATTGCTTTCTGCCTGGTTTTGAATGTGGTGAAGAATTTTCACTGATATATAACAATGTTTTAAAACAGTATTAGGTAAGCATTATAAAACTCCTGAATACTTTTAAGAACAGCTGTATTTAGAGCTCACAGCTATGTAGTCTAGAAGGGATGTTATCTTTCTCCAGAGGAGCCATTGATGAAAATGATTTTCAAGACAACTGTGAGAAATTCCTAATTCAAATCAAATTCAGATTTCAACATTTTACTTCACTATGGTCAATGACAGGCAAGTTAAAAAGAAAAACTCAGAAACAATGACCAAGTACAGTTAAGACAGCATAACCTAAAAAAACTGAAACCAGAGTAAGAGAGAAACTGAATAAAATGCAGTAAAACTATATAAAACTTAATATAAAGTAGAAATAGAATAAAATAAAAGAGAGAGGAGATTTCATAATATCATCACTCTAAGATTAGGACTTCTTATGCTTTTTTATGGAAATTACTGCAGAGAGGTTTCTTGCATTTCCACTGAAATCAAGCTATATTATGCTTATAGAATTCCCACAATGTATTTAGAAAGTCACACATTTTTAATTGGCTAAGGTTAATCTGGCTATATTTGTTCTTGACCAAGTCATGCTGATTTCTATCAATGAATTCATCATTTACTAGATGCTTATATTCTGCTCTAGAATCTCTGCAGATATCAATGTCAGATATTGTTTCTCCTTGGTTTTCTGAATCCTTCTTTTGCCCTTTTTGAAAACAGAGAAAATATTTGCTCTCCTCCGATCCTCTGTCACGCTACCTATTCTGCAGGATTTCTCAAATACAGCATAAATTCAAAGGAAATAGGTGTTCCTTGATTTTGAATATGAATCTCAAGGTTCAATTCCACCCTTTCATCCTTCTTGGTGGAAATACATTTTTTTTTTTCAGAAGAGAGTGAACCAAAAAGAGTTTAGTAGTTGGACATTTTCTTTACTACTCAACAGCATATTTTTGTCTTAACTGAGCAGCTCATATATTGATTTTTCTTTCTTTCTTTTTTGTAACTTATCTGAAGAAACCATTTTGCCAATGTCAGCACATCTTGAGCTGTAGCCTTTCTGACCATGTTTGCAATTCTGCGCTACCTGTCTATACTCTCACATTTTCATGAGTTGATCTTGTCCCTCTTTCCACCTGCCATATCTGTCCCTGGTTTGGTTTCCAGAGCTTAACTTTTTCAATCCCCGTTCCATGGGATTAAAGCCTTAGCATGATAGGGCTCAGTAACACACATTATCTTGAGAGCCATGCTATTGGGAATGTGAGCTCTTGATCACTCTTGCTGATAAGGTCAAAAGGGCAGAGTAAACCTGAGTTGGGTAATGGGAGGTAGGGCTCTCCAGGTGTGGGGGAAGTCAACCCACTTAGGAGGAGGTATTCTAACATGTAACTCTAAAGAAGGCAATGGTAATATGTGTCATGGCTATATGCATAGTTAGTAAAAAAAAAAAAAAAAGACAATGAACAAGGTCATTGCTATCCTTGCCAATCGTTTTTTAAATATGGTTTTATGACCTAAATCATTTGATTTCAAAAAGCCCATGGAAGTCC